ATACACCTGAACATCAGCAGGAGAGGACTCTTTAAAGTAGAGACACTACATACTGATATACACCTGAACATCAGCAGGAGAGGACTCTTTAAAGTAGAGACACTACATACTGATATACACCTGAACATCAGCAGGAGAGGACTCTTTAAAGTAGAGACACTACATACTGATATACACCTGAACATCAGCAGGAGAGGACTCTTTAAAGTAGAGACACTACATACTGATATACACCTGAACATCAGCAGGAGAGGACTCTTTAAAGTAGAGACACTACATACTGATATACACCTGAACATCAGCAGGAGAGGACTCTTTAAAGTAGAGACACTACATACTGATATACACCTGAACATCAGCAGGAGAGGACTCTTTAAAGTAGAGACACTACATACTGATATACACCTGAACATCAGCAGGAGAGGACTCTTTAAAGTAGAGACACTACATACTGATATACACCTGAACATCAGCAGGAGAGGACTCTTTAAAGTAGAGACACTACATACTGATATACACCTGAACATCAGCAGGAGAGGACTCTTTAAAGTAGAGACACTACATACTGATATACACCTGAACATCAGCAGGAGAGGACTCTTTAAAGTAGAGACACTACATACTGATATACACCTGAACATCAGCAGGAGAGGACTCTTTAAAGTAGAGACACTACATACTGATATACACCTGAACATCAGCAGGAGAGGACTCTTTAAAGTAGAGACACTACATACTGATATACACCTGAACATCAGCAGGAGAGGACTCTTTAAAGTAGAGACACTACATACTGATATACACCTGAACATCAGCAGGAGAGGACTCTTTAAAGTAGAGACACTACATACTGATATACACCTGAACATCAGCAGGAGAGGACTCTTTAAAGTAGAGACACTACATACTGATATACACCTGAACATCAGCAGGAGAGGACTCTTTAAAGTAGAGACACTACATACTGATATACACCTGAACATCAGCAGGAGAGGACTCTTTAAAGTAGAGACACTACATACTGATATACACCTGAACATCAGCAGGAGAGGACTCTTTAAAGTAGAGACACTACATACTGATATACACCTGAACATCAGCAGGAGAGGACTCTTTAAAGTAGAGACACTACATACTGATATACACCTGAACATCAGCAGGAGAGGACTCTTTAAAGTAGAGACACTACATACTGATATACACCTGAACATCAGCAGGAGAGGACTCTTTAAAGTAGAGACACTACATACTGATATACACCTGAACATCAGCAGGAGAGGACTCTTTAAAGTAGAGACACTACATACTGATATACACCTGAACATCAGCAGGAGAGGACTCTTTAAAGTAGAGACACTACATACTGATATACACCTGAACATCAGCAGGAGAGGACTCTTTAAAGTAGAGACACTACATACTGATATACACCTGAACATCAGCAGGAGAGGACTCTTTAAAGTAGAGACACTACATACTGATATACACCTGAACATCAGCAGGAGAGGACTCTTTAAAGTAGAGACACTACATACTGATATACACCTGAACATCAGCAGGAGAGGACTCTTTAAAGTAGAGACACTACATACTGATATACACCTGAACATCAGCAGGAGAGGACTCTTTAAAGTAGAGACACTACATACTGATATACACCTGAACATCAGCAGGAGAGGACTCTTTAAAGTAGAGACACTACATACTGATATACACCTGAACATCAGCAGGAGAGGACTCTTTAAAGTAGAGACACTACATACTGATATACACCTGAACATCAGCAGGAGAGGACTCTTTAAAGTAGAGACACTACATACTGATATACACCTGAACATCAGCAGGAGAGGACTCTTTAAAGTAGAGACACTACATACTGATATACACCTGAACATCAGCAGGAGAGGACTCTTTAAAGTAGAGACACTACATACTGATATACACCTGAACATCAGCAGGAGAGGACTCTTTAAAGTAGAGACACTACATACTGATATACACCTGAACATCAGCAGGAGAGGACTCTTTAAAGTAGAGACACTACATACTGATATACACCTGAACATCAGCAGGAGAGGACTCTTTAAAGTAGAGACACTACATACTGATATACACCTGAACATCAGCAGGAGAGGACTCTTTAAAGTAGAGACACTACATACTGATATACACCTGAACATCAGCAGGAGAGGACTCTTTAAAGTAGAGACACTACATACTGATATACACCTGAACATCAGCAGGAGAGGACTCTTTAAAGTAGAGACACTACATACTGATATACACCTGAACATCAGCAGGAGAGGACTCTTTAAAGTAGAGACACTACATACTGATATACACCTGAACATCAGCAGGAGAGGACTCTTTAAAGTAGAGACACTACATACTGATATACACCTGAACATCAGCAGGAGAGGACTCTTTAAAGTAGAGACACTACATACTGATATACACCTGAACATCAGCAGGAGAGGACTCTTTAAAGTAGAGACACTACATACTGATATACACCTGAACATCAGCAGGAGAGGACTCTTTAAAGTAGAGACACTACATACTGATATACACCTGAACATCAGCAGGAGAGGACTCTTTAAAGTAGAGACACTACATACTGATATACACCTGAACATCAGCAGGAGAGGACTCTTTAAAGTAGAGACACTACATACTGATATACACCTGAACATCAGCAGGAGAGGACTCTTTAAAGTAGAGACACTACATACTGATATACACCTGAACATCAGCAGGAGAGGACTCTTTAAAGTAGAGACACTACATACTGATATACACCTGAACATCAGCAGGAGAGGACTCTTTAAAGTAGAGACACTACATACTGATATACACCTGAACATCAGCAGGAGAGGACTCTTTAAAGTAGAGCAACTACATACTGATATACACCTGAACATCAGCAGGAGAGGACTCTTTAAAGTAGAGACACTACATACTGATATACACCTGAACATCAGCAGGAGAGGACTCTTTAAAGTAGAGACACTACATACTGATATACACCTGAACATCAGCAGGAGAGGACTCTTTAAAGTAGAGACGCTACATACTGATATACACCCTGAACATCAGCAGGATATATCCTCTCTAATCCCCTGGGGGGAAATCAGGTTTAATAATAGTAAACCATTAACTGATGTTCGATTAATTCACATTTTGTTTTAGTAATCGATTTCAGCTTCCTAAAGCGTCATGTAATATAAAGGTCATTGCACTTCAGAGGATTGTAGTATGGCTCCATTACAAATTATGTGACTGATACGTTTGTTAACAACAGAGATTATTTACTGCAATAATCCAAAGGAAAAATCCCCCAGAGAGTGGGGGAGAAACGTCCTTTGAAGGGAACACAGGGATTTTAACCTTTGCAGACCCTTGACATGCACTAAAACCCATAAAAACAACCCAGAGCAGACATTTTTTTTTGTAAAGCACTTTGAATCGCCTTGCCTTAAAGGTCACCTATTATGCAAAATCCCCTTCTTCATGTCTCTTCTACATCAAAATGTGTCCCCACTTCTTCATGTCTCTTCTACATCAACATGTGTCCCCTCTTCTTCATGTCTCTTCTCCATCAACATGTGTCCCCTCTTCTTCATGTCTCTTCTACATCAACATGTGCCCCCTCTCCTTCATGTCTCTTCTACATCAACATGTGCCCCCTCTCCTTCATGTCTCTTCTACATCAACATGTGTCCCCTCTTCTTCATGTCTCTTCTACTTCAACATGTGTCCCCTCTTCTTCATGTCTCTTCTACATCAAAATGTGTCCCCTCTTCTTCATGTCTCCTCTACATCAACATGTGTCCCCTCTTCTTCATGTCTCTTCTACATCAACATGTGTCCCCTCTTCTTCATGTCTCTTCTACATCAACATGTGTCCCCTCTTCTTCATGTCTCTTCTTCATCAACATGTGTCCCCGTGTCCCCTCTTCTTCATGTCTCTTCTACATCAACATGTGTCCCCTCTTCTTCATGTCTCTTCTACATCAACATGTGTCCCCTCTTCTTCATGTCTCTTCTACATCAACATGTGTCCCCTCTTCTTCATGTCTCTTCTACATCAAAATGTGTCCCTCTTCTCATGTCTCTTTCATCAAAATGTGTCCCCTCTTCTTCATGTCTCTTCTACATCAACAATGTGTCCCCTCTTCTTCATGTCTCTTCTACATCAACATGTGTCCTCCCCTCTTCTTCATGTCTCTTCTACATCAACATGTGTCCCCTCTTCTTCATTCTCTTCTACATCAACATGTGTCCCCCTCTTCTTCATGTCTCTCTCTTCTACATCAACATGTGTCCCCTCTTCTTCATGTCTCTTCTACATCAAATGTGTCCCCTCTTCTTATGTCTCTTCTTCATCAACATGTGTCCCCTCTTCTTCATGTCTCTTCTACATCAACATGTGTCCCCTCTTCTTCATGTCTCTTCTACATCAACATGTGTCCCCTCTTCTTCATGTCTCTTCTACATCAACATGTGTCCCCTCTGTGGAAAGAGACTCTGAAAGTCTCAGGAACAAAGATTCTCTCTCTTTTTGATCAATTTCTATAAAAACCTGTCTGAAAATGAGCTGATCAGATTTTGGCCACTTTGTGATGTCATAACGATGTGTTGTCTTGTGTAACCATTAGCCAATCAGCAACCAAGGTAACCCCCCCCCCCCTTATCACCTGAATCTCCTCCTAGAGCTCCATTGAGTTCTTTGTAACCAAATGTCTCTCAGAGGGGCGTGGGGAAGGGGCTCCTTATTTTCATCTAAATTAACAGACAGAGAATCAGCACTTTGGAAACAGGGCTGAAACAGAGGGGATTATGGGTAATGCTGCAATGATCTGTTTGGTGTTTCAGCCAATCAGAGACAGGCTCTGGATATATCTGAGACCTGGGATATATTGATGAAAAACAGTATAATAGGGACCTTTAAGATAGAACAGTCTTTACTCATGTTTCCTTTTCTTCTTCTGTGTTTTCAGGATGAAAATGCGGCGGCACAGGGTGTTCTTGCTGTGCACGGTGGGGCTGTGCGTCATCTCCTTCCTGCATTACTACAAGGCCCTCCATTACGTGTCCCTGCTGCGAGAGCTCTCCGCCCCCTACCCCAACATCAAGTCCTTCATCATGGTCACCGGCTTCTTCTGGAGGGAGAAGGGCGTGGGCAGCACCCCGATTAGCCCCGCCTCCCCAGAAGAGGCCCCACCCCTTCCCATCCTCCGCCAATCGGACACCAAAGCCAGAGCGGTGGCAGGCGATGGAGGAGTTGGAGGACTGGGGATCGGGGGGGTCGTGGTGGGAGGAGATGGGATCGTTGGTAATGCAGGGCTGGAGGTGAGGTTGAGGGACGAGCCGGCACCCCCTCACCCCTGGGAGAAACCAGAAGAGAACCAGCGGGGGGACAATCCCATTGATGTGAGTGAAACATTACTTTATTATGAACATTTAAGAATTGAGTTTTTCCTTGGTTTACATATCCGTTTATCAATGCCAACAAAATGTAGACATTTATGTTACCCTAATCCCCTTCTCTCTTCTTGGTCGTTCCTCCCAGGAGAGAGCTGAAGACGAAGGAGGTTTATTGGCGCAATATATTCTTCCAATTGCCCAATCCTAGTTAGCATAATTCAAATTTCAATGCCCAACTGTCTAGTTTTTCTGTTTAACAATGTCAACAAAATATAGACATTTATGTTACTCTATGGACAAGTTACCCAAAATATAGACATTTATGTTACTCTATGGACAAGTTACCCAAAATATAGACATTTATGTTACTCTATGGACAAGTTACCCAAAATATAGACATTTATGTTACTCTATGGACAAGTTACCCAAAATATAGATATTTATGTTACTCTATGGACAAGTTACCCAAAATATAGACATTTATGTTGGACAAGCGTCTTTGAGCACTAGGAAAAGCGCTATACAAATCAAATATATTATTATTATTATAAGTTACCCTATAACGATACGATACGATACGATAATACTTTATTGGTCAGATCAAGTCTGAAATGCTCCTTGCATCACAGCAGCTCCATTTGTAACATCAACAGACACACATCAACACACATGAGAAACAAACAACAAACATGTAACATCACAGCAGGATCAGTGAGAGAAAGCTGCTCAAAGAGCCTTCAGCGTGCATCTGATCTGGATTCAGCTCTGAGGACGGACTGGAGCACAAAGGATGCTTCAGGCTGACTTTAGTGAATCTCCATCAGATGGTAGCAGTTCAGATTCAGAACATGCTTTGGGTCCCAGGTGATGTTGTTGTAATCCCCGTCTCTTCTTGGTCTTTCCTCCAGGAGAGAGCTGAAGACCACTTGAAACCCAGAAACCCGAGTCACCCTGCAGGCCCTGACCTCCCGGAGAACCTCCTGGTGGGGAAGCAGCACAAGGACAAAAAACGGATGCAAGACCCCTTAAAATTATTGGGAGACCTCCACACCCGCAATCACCAGCTCCTCAATGACAGAACAGCTTTCTTTGTCCGAACCAAAGCCGGAGCCTTTTGTTTTAGGCAGGGAACAGAGGTGGCTACCCAAAAGGAATACTCTGGGAAAACTGGGGGGGTTGTGGCTAACGGAGCAGGGGAAGGTAATCGAAATGCTGGGCAAAGGAAGCCTCTGGAGGTCCAGCAGCAGCCCTCCATGAATCCTAAAGCAAAGACCAGAGCCAGAGGGAATGGGAAGCGCCTGGTGAAGTGTGTGTGTCGGCCGGGGTGGCACGGGCCGTACTGCGGGGTTCCCACCATGGTGTACCACTCCAACCTGCCCACCAAGGAGCGGTTGACGCCCAGAGAAACCCCGCGGAGGGTCATCAACGCCATCAACGTGAACCACGAGTTCGACCTGCTGCACGTACGCTTTCACGAGCTCTCACAGGCAGTCGATCTCTTCCTCGTCTGTGAATCCAACTTCACTGCATACGGAGAGAAACGGCCTCTGAGGTAAGACTTATTTATGTCTTAATGTGTGCATATGTATAGATGTGTCTGTTGATTGTGTATTTATAGGTATATACATATTTTATATATATTTGTATACATATTTGTATTCGGGATTGGGGGGAAACGGTATTTTGATTTCTCTGTCTGTTCACACAACTTGACTTTGACTTTGAAGACACCATTCTCGTGTGTGTGAATGTGTGTGTGTGGAGATTATTCAAGCCTCCATGGTCAAGATGTTTAATGTGTAACTGAGCTGCTTCATGGCCATCAGAAGGTGACTCTTTATGGCAGTAAAACCTTGTAAAATGACGTGCATGCTGAGCAAACTTCGAATATTTTTTTTTATTCTAATATTCGGCCCGCAGGGGGGGGGGGTCGTAGTAATCAGCAGCGAACCGCTTCAACATGTGTATTTTGGTGTATTCACGGCATTCATTTTGTTATTCTACAGTATTGTTGTTTTATAGTTATTAACCCAATTTGTGTTCTTTGAAATTGAAATTGTGTTTGTTACTTTAGTTGCAGATGTATGTCTTAAGTGTAATTTGGCTTGGCTTCCTATTTATGGACATGATTTTATTTTGAAGGAGAGGTAGCGTTGTTGACAGGAAGTTGTTGTTGCTATGGAAACAACGTGACGGAGATTAACGGAGAAAAGTAATATCTACATGTAAAGACGGAAAAAGTAAACAATAACGTTTATGGTTAAGTGTTAGCACCCCCGAACAAGCTCTTACGTTGAGATTGCAGATTTCAATAAATTCAATTTGAAAAAAAAAAGGGAAAAAAACGAAAAAACAAACAAAACGAATATCCGAATAACGAAATTGAAACCCGAATAGTACTCCAACGAACGAATATTCGGATATTCGAATATTCGGATATTCGAATATTCGGGTACAGCCCTAGACACTTGTATCACAGCGCAGTGAAGTTATTTGTGTAAATATTAGGGATGTAACGATATACCGAATATCGCGGTATCGATAAATAAACGTCCCAATACCGTTGTGAGACTGACAAAATCTACCGCGATTTAAAAATCTAAAACATTAAAACACTTTTTTTTTTTTAAACCTTTATTCAACCAGATGGTCCCATTGAGATCATCGATCTCTTTTTCAAGGGAGACCTGTCCAACATGGCAGCAAGTAGGTTACAACATGAACATAAAACAACAGATAATAATAAAGGACATGGTATTTACAGGGCTACATGTACACACCTAGAGACATTGACAAGTACCAACAGTATATTTATATCTCTGTCAATAAGCCTCACCTTCTTGGCAAACACTGTATTCTTTTTGAAGAGGTGGAGAGACAATGCACAGTTTGACCCACTGCTGCCAACATGCCTACTTTGTTTGGTAGTACTAGTAGGTACAAAAACACTGGTTTTCTTGTTCCAGTCTGTTACTGTCACTTTGTTTTTGACACTTTAAAATACTGCTATCCAACTAAAATGCTGTTCAAATCAGATTTATTATTTAATAAAGAAAAATGTTCCAAGTGAAAAATTGTTCAATTAAAAAAAAAAAGATTTACATTTTTTTTTTTTTATTATTCAATATCGCGATAAATACCGTACCATGGACTTGTTATCATGATATTATCGTGCCGTGAGTTTTTGGTATCGTTACATCCCTAATAAATATCATATAATATAATCATGTCATCATCACGTCTTAAAAGTAAGGTTGCCTGATAGATTGTATGAGCATGTTTGCAGTGTAGTGGTTGGCAATACAATCTTAAATCCCTTCCAACACTGCAACTTACAATACACTAAAGACATGAGAAATAAGGAAGTAAAACAGTGCACTACAACATTGTGCAAGTGGAACAATGGTACAAGTAAAATGCATGTCAAGTAGGGCAAATTAACTAAAAGACGTCATGCTTAAACTTGTTTCAGTTTGATATAAAACAACAACATTATACATGACTAATGTACAAGAGAAGTCTATCTGATAGATCCTTATTTAAGGGTTTTTGGTTACATGCAGGTGAACCACAAACATTCTTGATCAATTTATCATACAATAAAACAGGCGAGATAATCTTCAACCACCACCAGGAAGACTAGGTTTTGAAAAGAAAGTAAGTTGTATAGGAATACAGTGGCTAGAAAGGATGAAGCTGAACAGAAAACTGGCAAATGTCCTGTATTTTTTCATTTAGCTTTATATATATATCACAGAAAAGTCCCAATGTCAGTTTTTTACGATATCGAGCAACACTCCTTATTAGTGTTGCCCGGTGTACCGATACTTGAAAGGTACCGCGATACCCTGCCATTAAAAATGTTACGATTCCTCCGTTTCATTAGTATCGGTACTTTAAGAATGACGGGGAAAAGTACTCCGGTGCGAAAGAGCCGTTTTAATAAGAGCCGTGTGTGTTCAGCGCTCTGCTTCCACTCCCTGCACTGCAGCCGTGCCTGCAGTCCCTCCCCTCTCAAGCACGCTCTAAGTCCCTCCCCTCTCAAGCACGCTCTAAGTGCCTCCCCTCTCAAGCACGCTCTAAGTCCCGCCCCTCTCAAGCACGCTCTAAGTCCCCTCCCCTCTCAAGCACGCTCTAAGTGCCTTCCCTCTCCAGCACGCTCTAAGTGCCTCCCCTCTCAAGCACGCTCTAAGTCCCTCCCCTCTCAAGCACGCTCTAAGTCCCTCCCCTCTAAAGCACGCTCTAAGTGCCTCCACGCTCTAAGTCCCTCCCCTCTCAAGCACGCTCTAAGTACCTTCCCTCTCCAGCACGCTCTAAGTGCCTCCCCTCTCAAGCACGCTCTAAGTCCCTCCCCTCTCAAGCACGCTCTAAGTCCCTCCCCTCTCAAGCACGCTCTAAGTGCCTCCCCTCTCAAGCACGCTCTAAGTCCCTCCCCTCTCAAGCACGCTCTAAGTCCCTCCCCTCTCAAGCACGCTCTAAGTGCCTTCCCTCTCCAGCACGCTCTAAGTGCCTCCCCTCTCAAGCACGCTCTAAGTCCCTCCCCTCTCAAGCATGCTCTAAGTGCCTCCCCTCTCAAGCACGCTCTAAGTCCCTCCCTTCTCAAGCACGCTCTAAGTCCCTCTCCTCTCAATCACGCTCTAAGTGCCTCCCCTCTCAAGCACGCTCTAAGTGCCTCCCCTCTCAAGCATGCTCTAAGTGCCTCCCCTCTCTCGTGCACGCGCTAGCTGCCAGAGCATGTGAGAAAGCGAGAAGCATGGCTGCAAGTGGGAGTGCAGCTGCCGCTGCGCCTCGGCTTGTTGACAAAAAAGACGCCAGAAGCGAAATGTGGAAGTATTTGAGCGATATCTCTGACAGTGAGGGCAAGCCTACGGACACCACGAGGCCTGTCTGTGAGACATGTTTCAGATCCCTGCAAACCAAGGGAGCCAACACATCAGACTTGACTAAGCACCCGCCAACCGGCATCCAGAGCTGTTTAAAGAACTTAAAGACAGACAGGTTAGCGAATGTGATAGATAACATAATTACATCATGCTCAAGCCCATGCCCTCAAATCTAAGTTAAACAAGTGTAATTTATTTTGTGACAAACGAACGTTTTCGTAGTTTGACGAGGCAATTAATGGCAATGATAACTGTCTAATATGGCTATCTTTTTAACTAACTTACCAATGTGGCTAACTTCTGCAATGTACATTTGGTCAATAATTATTTATATTAATGTACTATTACATGTTAATAAAATATAAACTTAACTATCAAAGAAGTCACATCAACTCAAGTATAAAGAAGAGACCATGTTGTAATAAAACACTTAACAGATAAACTACAATTGTATTGATCATGAAAATAATAAAAGAAAAGTATCGAAAAAAAATCGGAATCGCAATTCTTGACTTGGTATCGGTATCGAAACCAAAATGTTGGTATCGTGACAACACTACTCCTTATCATATGTTACTTTATTACCAATGATGCTCCGTTTCCATATTCATCAGTATTATGAATACACAATTGGACAGAATCACAGAAGTGTTTGCCAACTTTCGACACGATGCATTGAGTAGTAATCGTTTACAGCGTTCAGTTCTTGTTTACAGCCAACCTTCATGCTTCTTCAGTATCAGTGTGCGGAATAACAATTACAGCGATGATCCTTTGGCAACAGCACCCACATGCCTCTGGAGCAATTTACAGCAGATTATGACAAGAGCGACATGATTGACTCTGTGTGCGGCCTCGGCGAAGAAGATTGGTGTGTTCAATCATAGGATGTGACACCGCATGAGAGTGGTAACGGTCAGTGAGCAGTCTCCCTCGATATGCATATCAACAGGTTAATGGAGTCGTTCTTCCAGTAGGATCGGTGTATGGACACGTGGTCTCTGTTCTGAAAGGCCTCCTTTGTAAACAAGAACTCCTTGTTGCCTGTTGTTCTCTTTCTGTGCTTCAGGTCTTTGCCAATACTAATGCATTTTACACTTTGTTGGATACGCTTGCTTTGTTGCAGGATAGGTTCCATTCTGTCCTGTTTGGGGGAAAAGTCAATAATCAGACTTTTGAAACTTCGTTCAATCCCTTAGGGTGAACATGAAGTCTCTGTTGCTTCATGTCAAAGTCATGTTATGGTTGCATGGTTGTGAATTTGAAAATGATATAGTAAGATTTACAATGTTTAACACAGAAGGCAGGTAGGGGTAAAGGGAAAGAAAAATAAACTCCAAATGGACTAACAATGATTTAGCAATTAGTTGATTTAATCGACAGATATTTATAATTTCTACTAGGAAGCATACAAAAGCACCATTATAAATCTAGTTTTTTTGTAAAGGTTTGACATTCAACATGAAAAAGCATGTCAAAATACTTATATATAAAAAATAATGTGTTATATTACATGATTGCCTCTGCATTGGATTATTATCTGATCGGTAATAACTTCATAATTATGTCTGAAAGCAGAAGTCTAGGGCAAATAATTGCAAGTCTCTTCAGTGAGAATATCACAAAATGATTTAAAAAGAAAAGCCAAATTCTGGAAAAAAAGTCACAATCGAAAAACAGAAGTGACATTTAAAAGAAAAAAGTCAAATTTGAGATGCATTGTGGGACATGTAGTTTGTGGGCAACGTGCTTCTGTAAATCATCATGTAACCGTATAATAAACATATAATATTCTTAGCAAGCTCTTGTGGGGCCACAGGAAATGAAGTCACGGGCCGTATTTGGCCCCCGGGCCTTGAGTTTGACACCCCTGAACTAGGACTAACCCTAATTGTATGGATTCTTGAAGTCCAAAGAAATTCTTGGTTTTCGTTCGTTAGTTAATGTTTTGGGACATGCATTTTTTACATGATCCTTTTTCACCCCCTTTTCCTTGGTAGAATCACAAACTGTCAATCATTGGAATAGCTTGAAACCAATCCCTACTGTGCACCTGCTTCCTCTTACATGAGTTTGTAAAGAATGCAATCAAAAGGTTATTTTGTAGCATCACTTGTGGTTTAAAACTCCACAGGGTACCTTTTTAGATAAATGCAGTAAGAAGTCCTAATGAACGATGTGATTGGTTACACTTGCATTGTTGATCTCCAGCAAGTGTCAAGAGTCTACTAACAAATGTCTAACCCTTCTGGAAAAGAATGGCTATCTAGAACGGAAGTGATTTAACCAAACATTGGAATACATCCTACATTACAACACACACATTAATGGCACTTTAAGATAGTCCACTAAATGTCGTCTAATGTGATTTTTCCCCAGTTTCCTGCGGCTCCTGCTCAACGGCACGTACGACTACATTCGTCACAAGATCCTGTACGTGTTCCTCGATCACTTCCCAGAGGGCGGTCGGCAGGACGGCTGGATCGCGGACGACTACCTGCGAACCTACCTGACGCACAACGGCTTGTCCAGGGTGTCGGGTTTAAGATCGGACGACGTCTTCGTCATCAACGACGCAGATGAGATCCCAGCACGAGAGGGCCTCCTCTTCCTCAAGCTGTTCGATGGCTGGACGGAGCCTTTCGCCATCCATATGCGCAAGGTAACAACTCAGTGTTTTATGGGGTTAGATTTGTCTCAATAATATTTGTGTTAGAAAAATGTGCAAATGTAAAACGGATCTGCAAATACGCAAAATGTTTTCACAAATAAAAGATCTGTGAATACTATAATTAGTTTACAAATAAACAAAAGGAATGTGTGAACCTCTCTCTAACATTGACAACTTTCGATCAGATCTCAAATCTCTGCTTGTGGATGGTCTTTTTACACACACAGAGTTTTGAGACAAACTTTCCGCCGGTCTCGACTCAAATCTACTACTTATTGAGAGAAATCTAACCCTGTCGTGTTTGTTTTTCACCAGGAGAGCAAAGAATATGAGAAAATCCAGGAAATTAGGTTGTAGAGTTGGCACGATATGGATGTGTGTGTCCCGGTTAGAGTTAAGATGGATTATTCAAGCTGTGTGAACACTGTGGTCTGAAACAGTAAAACAAACAAAGGAATCTATATTAAGATTACAAACAATTACAGTACGATTGACTTTACACAATCAAGTGAAATACCAAACCATTTAGGACGAAACATAATAAAACCCACAAAACAGATGTTGAAAAAAAGTGTGGTACTCGTGTGTGAGCACATATGTTATTATATTTAGGCCAATAGTTATAACACTGGACCATTCCTCTTTCATGTACGGTGCAGTTAGGGACCAGTTCCTATCATCCAGAGTTCCTTTTAACACGTGTGATAACCTCACCAATGGCAACATGGACATCAGTTTTTCAAACCATAATGAGATATTGGGCGGATCTTCAATCAACCAATTCCAAGAATGTGCCTGTCTTCGTTCATAATTTGCCAAGTTGGATTTAGGTTGAAAGGTCTCCTATCATGCAAAATGCACTTTTTGACGTCTTTTATACATAAATATGTGTCCCGGTGTGTGTCCCGCGTCTCCCCGGTGTGTCCCGGTGTGCTGTCCCGTGTCTCCCCGGTGTGTCCCGTGTGTGTCCCGTGTCTCCCCGGGTGTGTTCCGGTGCGTCAGGAGACTCACAAAGTGTCAGAAAGCAAAAACCTTCTCTCTTTTCCTCCGTACCCAAATCTCTAAAAATGACAGAATGGGTGATCTGTTTGGTATTTTGAGCAAAACACCTCATAGACATGTTTGTTATATATCTGAGATAGTGCTGCGTACCTGGACTCACATTCAGGTTCAGGTCCGGACTCAAGTCCAGAGGTTCAGGTTCAGGTCCGGACTTATAAGTCCGGACCTGAACCCATGGCTTGTGTCAAGTTGTGTGACTAAAGTGAACTTATTGTGAGCTAATTATCAATTGAAAATGAACTCATAATCAACTCAAATACAAACTCATCAGGTTTATTGCGCTCCCTTCCAACTTGTGTCTACATTTCTCTACAAAGTACAAATGTAAAAAAATACTTCGTCTACAAATGACTTATGACAGCAACTACAGTGAACTACTACAAGTTCAAACATTATTTCATTTACCAAACTAAAGTAACCCGAACAGTGCCTGAGCTGACTGAGCCTAAATCCCTAAAACGTTTGCTGAAAGGTAGAGTGTAGAGTAGACTATACGCATTACACTGTTACACACCTACTATACAGTATACACTGTAGTGACTGTACAGTCAGAGTGTACTGTACTGTCTGTACACCCATGTCTTTTCTACACTCTACATGTGTACATTATACAGTACATACTACATACATAGTGATGTACATACATACTGTTAGAAATTAAAATCAATGTTGATATGGCGTAATTTTGAATTAAATACACTATTTAATTTAAATCAGTTTTATTCTGAAAAAAACGGAAGTTCACACTATTAACTTAATACTTTTATTCTGAAAATTATTCACTTCCGGTTAGCATTAGCATGTGGCGAAATGCTACGTTTTCAAACCGTGAATCGAAGATGAAATGACATGTGATGTTGTACACTGAGCACACTGGGATTAGCACTCATTGATTGACGCTGAATAACGTTTATCAGGGAATGTTTAAATAACCACAGACACCAGAATACGTAAGTGCTAGTTTTTTTGCGAGTCCAAGTAACGGTTCCCGACGTTTCGGTTTTAACCGGACTTGAACCGAAACTTTTTACAAGTCCAGTACCGGTTCGGCGTACCGGTACGAAGCACTAATCTGAGACCTATAATATATGGCTAAAATCAGTATACTATGAGACCTTTAATATCTATTTATGTGTCTCTGTTTATAATTCCTGGTTCTTCTCCTCCCACTTCCAGTCGCTGTATGGATTTTTCTGGAAGCAGTTTGGCTCTCTGGAGGTGGTGTCCGGCTGCACGGTGGGGATGCTCCGAGACGTCTACGACGGCGACGGTATCAAGCTCCGCCGCCGCGAGTACTACACCATGCCGGGTTTCCGCAAGTACGAGAACGACACAGGCCACATCCTGGTGCAGTGGTCGGTGGGAAGCCCCTTCCACTTCGCCGGCTGGCACTGCTCCTGGTGCTTCAGGCCCGAGGGCATCTTCTTCAAGCTGGTGTCGGCTCAGAACGGAGACTTCCCGCGGTGGGGGGACTACGAGGACAAACGTGACCCTCAACTACATCCGGGATCTGATCCGGACGGGGGGCTGGTTCGATGGCTCCTTCAGGAATTACCCCCTGTGGACGCCAAAGAGCACATGTACGCCCCAAAGTATATGCTGGAGCACTATGAACGGTACCGCTACCTCCTGGAGAACCCTTACAGCAAAGCGTCCGAGGGCTAGGAGTTCTGCATGGATAGAATATGTGACGTAACTAGTAGGACCCGAATGAGGCCTCGGCACTGAGTTTTGGGGGGCGAAACGGTACTGAAGAACTACTTCTCTCAGTTGGAGGGATACTACATGAATCACCAGGCAGCACTGATGTTGCAATCTCTTACAAATATTATTTTGGGGTGAAAAAAGGGATCACCGAACCGCATCGTCCTTGGATTCACAGAGAGGTCTCTGAGAGGATACAACCACTGGATAAACAACATCATAGATTTCCTCATCCCTCCCTTTTTTGGGGGAGGAGCCAAGTCGTCTCTCTTTCTGTCACCCTGTCCTCTCCCGAGCTGATTGGTCGTTTGGAAGTAAAGAGAGGTATATTACAGAGCCGAGTGGAGAAACTTGGAATTGAGGAATTGTTTTTTTCTGTCTGTGTTTACTAAAGTTTACGGCTGATGTTCCCACTTCTTTCTCCCACTTCAGACGTCTTCCTGTCATATCTGGTGACCTCCTTCTAGAAAACAGACATGCTTTATGTTATTCTTTGGGTCTCAGTAGATAAGTATAAATCCCATCACACCCCGCTGGAGAACCCACTGCCAAACGAAAGGAATGAATCGATGGAAATGTCTCAGTGTCCACATGCACCTTGTGTGTTTGAAAGTGTGTGTGTGTGGTCTATCTTTGTGTCATACTGCGTGGTAGACCGCCTGTGACTGAGGGGGGAGATGGGGAGGCAGCGAGATGGGGAGGCAGCGAGATGGGGAAGCAGGAGGTGGGAAAGCAAGTAATGAGCAGCGATGAAAGGGAAAGAAAAGGAGGCTCTCTCTCGACGCTTTCCCACAGTATCTGCTGACGCGCCAGTGTGGCAGGGATGAGTGATCGAATGTGTGTGTGTACGCTCTGAATAAATCATACCCCGTCGATGGCATATGAGACGGATGAAACTCGCCGTCATTGTTTGTCCGATGAGAGGAATCGAGAAAGACAAGATGACCCTTCAGCTTCGTGCGACTGCAATGACTTAGTTCCCTTGGAAACTAAAGCGGAGTGTGTGAGACGGCCAGGGTGTTTAGAGATAAGTGGGTGGGTGCTCTTCGGGCGGCGTTCAAACGAGGTCAACGCCGACCGAGAATCCCCTTAGTTTAATATTCCTCTCTCTGCTCGTCGCCCACTCTCTGAAACAGACACTTTCTTTCTGTTTTCGTGCTGCTAAGTGTCCTCTTTCTTCTTCCTCTAGTGTTGGTTTCCTCCTAATCCCATAACAAGGCCCGTTTTCTCTCTTCAGTTCAGTTATTACATTACATGTCATCAAGCGGACACTTTTATCCCAAGCGACTTACTTGCACTTCAATACTGTAGACTCCCGGTGCTATTTTAGACTCTTTGACCTGCTGTATATCGAACCACTGACCCTCCGATAGGTAGACACACATTTACCCCCTGAGCCACAGCCAATCTCTCTCTACATTTGTGACCCGGCCATTGAAACCAGGCAGATGTCGCTCCAGCGCATTTGCGAGATAGCTGTGGATTTATGTCTGAAAGTTATGTTTTGGTCCTTATTAGGGTTAAGGTTAGGGTTAGGGTTACACCTTATGTCTCCCTGAAGAGTGACGGACTCCTAGTAACCTGGCAGTGTATGAGACAGTTGGTTTCCATCTGATTAGAAATAAAAACAAAGTCTTGGCTCTCAGGATATTCAATTATTATCGCCCAAATGTAGACGATAAATACTGTGTTGACGCTTGTGGCGAGCAACTTCACAGCAGAGGCATTACAACAGGCGGTGTGTTGTGTGTGTGGAAAATACTCACACACTCCAACACCAACTTTCTGACTCAGAATCATAGCTAATCCAGTCGTGGTCCTAAAGAGGGGGGCAGGAGTAATATGCCCCCAAAATATCAGGCTTTCAGCCCCCTCATTGGCTAAAAGTCATCTGCTAACACTGAAGGCTTCTTTTCCCAGAGTCGTGACAGTCGTCTTGTTTTGTGAAACATGTTGCTGTATATTTGGAGAACACCAAAAGGATATCATTTGAAAGCTAAGAAGCTCCTCGATCTAACAGTGTATATAACCCCATAGGTTACTTATGCGCCTCTATGTCAACTCTTTCCCTCCAGACGTGTACCTCTTCCCTCTTAATCCTCCGAAGAATTTCAATAATAGGGATATATTTACATTCTTCCAGCCCTCATTTCTATCCCGTGTCTCGACGGGACAGGAAGTAACCCTAGCAGTGCCACAGATCTCTACCATCTGAACGTGTAGCCTCTCTCTCCCGTGCTGGCAGACGTCCGTCCATGTGGCTGTTGCCTGAATCCCCCCGCCCCCTCATTGTTTGGCAGAGTTTATGAATCATTTTGGCGAGCATACTTCTCTTTGTGGGCGTTTAGTGTGGGCTGGATGTACTTGTCAAGGCGAGGGGAAAGCTAAAGAGGTCAGAAGAGTATGAAACAAACTGAAATGCCGATTGACTGCGTCCACCATCTTGCTTCTCCACCTCACGTCTGTGCCTTCGGTGTTATTGTTTACCGCGGCTTCAGGCGTTTCAAGCGACAGTGCCTCTAGAGGAAAAAAACAGTTTGGAGTAAGGGAACTTTTCTGCAAGGCGAGGATAGGATGTAATCTATTTAGACGTTTAGAAGCTTTAGTTTTACTGTGAAAGACCCTTAACATTGACATTTTACCTGTTCCTCTTTACTTTAAGTGTCCTTGAGCCAGAACCACATCCTCTTACTCATCCAGTCCTTCTGCACAACCTTAACATGAAACCAAAATGCATGATAAGCGAGATTTTTGCAAACTAGATTAAAGATTTGAAGATGCTGTCAAAGAAAAATCTGGAGACCAAGAATCCCGACAAACAACACACACAATATACTCAAAACCTACAAGAAATAAGGTTCAGCGTTATTTGTATAGCACATTTTAAGACACAGAGGCAATTAAAGTGCTTCACATTTAACACATGATAATTAAGACAAACAAACACACAAGGCGGTAATAAACAGTGCAAAGTGGTGAGCATATTCGGCCGTAAAGCTTGGTTTCCTGCTGTCTCCCGTGGATGGGAGCTCATATTTAGAAAGCAGATTACCCAGCAGCAGCAGCTGTTCGGGGTTTGTGTTGTTGGTGTCGGAGAGCCAAACTCCCATCCAAAAACCCACAGGGGCTGACAGCGATACCAGCTTTAAATAGGATTTGACACCAAAAGACAGAGGAGGCGACAACAATGCAACGCAAACAATGGAGGTTTCTTGTGTTTATTAATGAGATGTATTTGTGTAGACTTCAAAAGGTTAGTGATTTATGGAACAAAACCATAGAAGGAAGAAGGAGAAGTGAACTTTTGGCAATTGTGGATATATCAGGGATGTAAAATCATTCAGGCAGTTTGTGAACAATCGTAGATGAACCCACCTTCGCATGATTTCGTGGCCATGCTTTGGAATTTGAAAGAAAAGTAGCTTGAAATACACAAACATATCATTCATAGAGTCAGGACTCAGCAGCAAGAAACTGACCAAAGTATTTAATCACACAAACAGAAAACCTCCCTCTGTCTTCAGGGCTCACCATGTGCAGACCTTGATCTTTGCAACATGTTGCTACGTGTTTAAAAAGCTTTATGGCTAAGTCTTATCTCAGAAATGTTTAATCCCACAAGGGAGTGTTAGCAGAGAGGTAATAAGAGCTGCTCCCGCCTCTCTGCTGCAGGGTGTGTGGAGTTTTACATTTTCTTAATAGTTTGTGTATTACACAGTCATGGTGACTCAGGCCAGATAAGGCTGTCCGGCCCGCGCCTGTTGCCACGTTACCATCATGGCAACGATCCCATTGGTCGACTTCTGAGATCCCAAACAGCCGGAGGTCATCAGACAGCGGGCCGGAGGGTGACATGTGAGAAAGAGCAGAGGGAGGATGAGGGAGGGAAATCACAAAAACAGATTTTCACTAAATTGTACAACTCACAACTTGAGCTTAGTTTAAAAACATGGCAAAACGTAGGGAAATATTCAAGCTGTAGCACGCACGCACGCACATGTAGCTGACTTATCGCAGCAAGAAGGCACAATGAACAAGGAGCAGGCAAAATAAACGGCAACAATATTATTTCAAATGTTGAGCCAGGAATAAAACATCGATGAAAGAGTTTTGGCCTTAAACCAGATCAAGAAGTGGCAAAAGTCTACGATTGATGAACAGACAGTTATATCCAAAAAGATAAATAATCCATCCACCGCTGTCCTTGTCTTATTGGAGGAATACGCGGAAAAGGAAATGCTCATCATTAAGTTAAAAAAGATGTATAATCCAGTTAAAACAAATACACAGTTGAATGATGATTGGAGCAATGTGAGCACCTCATGATGGATTCAAGATCGAAAAGAGACCTGAATGTAGGGTTAATGAACAATCCAGAAAAATACCGTATAGTTATCCGTACATCGCCGTTCTTGTCCTATTGTTTGAAAAGGTGGTTAGGACATGGGGAGAGGAGGGAGGAAACAATCAGGACCTAACCACCTTTGGTTGTTCACTAGGATAAGGTAAAGTCATCTTGTCGTTGAATGAGAAGCGTCTAACTAGATGAGTTCAGTTCAAACTGAAAACTGTTCAATGACGATTGGAGCGATGATTGGATTCAAAGGCCTGACAACGTCTTGCTCAAGGACACTTCAGTAGATTGTAACCCCAGCAGACGTTACAGGCGGTCTGACTGGGCTTTGGCTTATTGACCGGACAGAGAATCGATAAAGCGATGACACATGGGAAAGGAAATATCTGCAGCCTCCAAACACACCCTCTGAGGCCGGTCTGAGCTGCGTTGCTAGGAGACAGATCTGGGATGTCTTTATTGCAGGTTATTGATATTACCAATAACCTGCAAGGTCAGTGTTTGAAACTGAAGATGTAGATGTTGTCCAAAGACGTATCCACATTGTGTGCCACGGCATCTAGAGAACTGAGGCAGGAACACATTTACTTTTCAGTTATTTATCAATTGAGGTTATTTTTGCGATTTTATGTAGAGTTTTAAATGGATGCTCCAATGATTCAGTATTGCACTTCTATACGTTTGAGGTACTTGCGATTTACAGGACAACACAAATACATTATAAAAGGACAAATAAATAACATGTATGAAGCACGGATGTCGAAACGTATTTAAAAAGACTTGATCCTCCACTCATCAACGTCTTTTTGCTTCACCTTCCCTTCTTGGTAGTTGATGGCATCTTTTAAACCCAAACGACAATGTATTACGCACTTTTTTAAATTATTAATCTATATTCTTTAAGCCCCTTGACTAGAACCACACATAGTTAACAGATAAGTATCGTTAAGACCTGAAGATACAGACTATTGAAAAAGATCAGTTTTACAGGATTACTGACGACGTTTACAAAAGATTAGGTTTTCACCATTCTGACAATATTGCTACTAAACTGTTAACAATACAAATGAGCATTCCCCTTTAAAGGTTAGTAGGTACGTTTCAGAAACCGGCTCGAGATACACTTGTTGTTATATTCCATGGAATGCTCTTAACATCCCGATAGCAATGAATATCTGAAGTGCTTTGACAACAAATCCATAACAATATTTCATCTGTGGAAGCCGTGTTGGATTGCCGCCCTGTCTGTCAGCCTTCCATCTCGTGCACGCACAAATGTATCTCGTGCCCTCATTGGGCGTGCCGTCATTGGGCGTGCATTGCAGCAGTACTTCAATGACTCGCCAGCAACAGGCGGCCACTTTCAACACGGCAGAGTTAGGTTCAACATCGTCTACTGGTCGCAAAAGAAAAAATTTAACGGAGCAAATTAAGAACAAAAAGAAAGTGGAAACTAGGAGAAGTCAAACCAGAGTCAATATCGGAGTTGCTTTTCAACGATGGCGACTTCTGATGGAACACACCGAGTTGAAATCTGACGCCGTGGTCGCTCTTTTTCTCTTGGACAGGTAATTATCTGTTTTGTTTGGTTTACAATTCCCCTGAACTATATAGCCAACCTACGTCATGTGCGCGTTCATGTGTGTTGGAGGAGGTGCTCTGGAAGGAAGTCTGAAGGAAGGGGCGGATTCTTTTCGGCTGTGTACTTTCACATTTTAGTGCACTCGAGACGGTTTCTGAAACTTACCTACCCCACCTTTAAAGGAAGACGTACAAATAATACATTTCCACATGTTTCCATATGTGGTGGACTTGTTGGACTGCAAACACATCCTCCATGTTTCCTTTATTTTGACCAACTTTGTGGAAAGGTTAAGCGATTATTGCACACATCTAAAAAACCTGTTGATATCGAAGCCGTTTCTGGACGTGTCCCCATCTCTACCTACGCCTTGCAAACTGCAGTAAACAACCCCATATTGTGAATGTCCTGCATACATGTTCAATGAAGGCTCCTAAGCACTGAATATTATCGGCATATCCCACGTGTCTTAACATAAAAACCCTACAAAATAAGGCGTCGTTCTGAATATCTAAACAGTTTGCATGACCCGCATCAAGTGATATCAGTGAGGTCATGTTTGGTATATTAGTGTGCATGTAAACGTAGTCATTAGCAGCCTTGAAACCCCCCATTCTGGGCCCTATCCTCTTTTCTGCACACACTAACCATGCACACATGTTTGTAGCATTGAGCACGTGTGTTTATCCTGCACAGATGTGTGTCTCCAGGGCTGCCCCCCCCCCCCTCCCACAATCACCCCCCCCCATCTGTTGTTTTGCTTGAAGAGTGGCTGCTTGTCTACGGGCTTAAATGCCTTCACGGCTCTGGCCCCCTCCAGCGCTGTGGCTCTCCCGGATTGATCTTTTCCAAGAAACATTAGAGAGGGAGGGAGGCCGGAAATCAAGAGGAGGGTGTGGAGAAAAGAGGGTCGTTTTACTTGGAAGTCGTTCCTTTTTTTCCCCCTCTTTCTGACAAGCGTCTGGAATGTTTTGAGCAAAAAGCACCCAAGTATGCAGCGTTTCTACACTAAAGACCACTTTCCCCTTTAGTTTGCACTTCGCCGGCGGAAGGTTCTTGAATATGTTTTGAAATAGAAAACCCACAGCAACGGAAAGCTGCTGCTGCTGCTGCTGTTATGGTCTTGGCTATAATGCATTGTTATTCCCTTTGTGTGGGAAGGGTTTTCCAAGAACTGAGCAATCACATTAACTCGAGCAGCTGCAGGATGTTTCAGCGCTGATTGGAAAAGTACTTACTAACCACAAGCATTGCCAAAACAAGTGCAAGACGAGCTTTTTTTCGGGCTGGATATGACTCAATGTTACTTTAGGGGTCGGTTCACCCAAATGCCAAAACACTTCCCTCTCGCTGCAGAATCCAGGATCGCTTAAGCTGCCCAGACTTTGGAAACATCGTTGAGGTTTCTGTCGCCACCCCTTCAACAATGGAGATGAATTGAATGGGATTATTGGTGCTTACAAAGTCAAAACAAATCTATTTAGTGTCTTCAAAATGTTCTCACAAAGTTATAGTCCCTCTGAAAACTGTTGACCACATATTCTGTGGGTTATCCACCGATAGGGACATCTTTGCAACCTTTTTAGGCTTCATTTTGTTTAAAACCTAACTTCTGAAGTTCGCTTATCTCAAGAAGTCGAACAAAAGATCTGCAAAGTGCATTTTAACATTGCAAAAATGTGTGAGTCTGACAACAACATTTGACTGCGGTGGTGGATCTCAAACATGGCCAAAATCAAACAACAACATCTGCATGTCTTGATGCTTGAGGACATTTGGGTGAAACACAGAAAGCCACAATATGTTACATTCTTCCATTTAGACCTAAAACATTCCCTTTTTGTTTATAGCTCGTTTTAATGGGTAAATAAATTGGTCCAGTTTATCCTGTAAAGTTGCATGGAAAATGTATTCGCCATCACGACATTGAAGCAGACTCACATGACGCAGCAGTTAGAGGCAGTGTTGCGTACGAAATCGTGAAAACCATATGTAATGATGACGGGGGAACTCTTGCAAACATGTCAGGCTTTTTCTGTCGAGATAGGAGTGTGTTTGTCGGTCAGGACCCAACAGATTGTTGGCTTCAGGTCAGGTCTACGAGTCCATATGGTTGTGACACTGCAGAAATAAATAGACAGAGCGGCGCTGCAGAGACAGATGGACGCTGAGTTGGAAGAAAAGTCGTCCGTGCAAAGCAACGAGTAGTGAGTTGATTAGGCTCTTTGGTTTAAAAAGTAATATAAACTTCAGTCGTTTGGATTCTGAAGTGAGGACATTTTAGATTGACACTGTTTTTTCTTTCAGTCGTGGTGCATTTGCCCCCAGAAGTGTTGCTGGGTTCAGTTCATGTATATCAAGTTGTTTTGAAGACCTACTAAATACGTGTAAATGTTGACTGAACAGGAAACCATCAGGGAGAGATTTTGAGGTACTATTTGTTAAGAGTTTAGAGCTTTAACATTGTGGAAGTTGCTGCCACTTGACACAACCAACCATATATCCATTCAAGTGATTCAATGTCAAGGAATTGTTAAGAAAACCTTTAAAATGTCGCCTAAATGTTGGTCTATTTGGAACTTTTTCCACCAATGCGTTTTCTCTGTTTTTCGCCGCAGGTATAGCCACTTTGAGCGTGACAACCAAAGCAAACGGTATCTAATGCTGCTGTTTCCACACAGCCTTTCTGGTGCAAAACGTAGAAATGATCTTGACAACACGTGAATGAAAACCCGTTGAGTTGCAGAGAAGCTGCCGTTGGTATCAATATTGTCAGAAACGGAGCGAATAAGCGCCTTTTCCAGAAAACCTTCCCTTTGACACTCAACAGCTGCTTCATCAGGACTGTGTGGTTGTGGTTTCATCAGATTTGACTGACAGCGTTGCAAACTCCCACCAACTGTTATCAGAGGATCGTTTTCCCATTTAAAACCAGTGGGAGCGAACACAGAAAAAGATGTGAAATAACTTTGGCAGAAAATAGTGCATCATTCATGGAAGACGTTGATCGCGAACACATGTCTTCAAGGACTTACAGAGTACTTTGCGGCAAAGGTTTGGGGAAGGTCTCTTCCTGTTTCAGCCTGACGATGCCCCTGTGGCTAAAGAAAGACCCAGAGAGAAAGAGTTTGAAGTGTGTAAGCTTGAGACTGGCCTGCAGACACATGGAGAGAAAATGAGTGAACGTTAGACTCAATCTCTCACATAAAGCCGTTCCAAAAGCGTAGCTTGAATGGAGGCTTTATTTCAGGCGTCCACAAACGATTCCTTGTACTGTTTATTCCTTATGTTGTGTGGAACAAATATTCTTTATTTCAGTAAAAGTACTAATACTACACTGTAGAAATACTCAATTTCCAGTAAAAGTATTGCAACAAAAGTATTGAAGTACGACTTAAAGTATTAAGAGTAAAACAACTCAATAAATGATAAAACATTTTTAAATTATTTCAGATCTTCTTATTTAAGAAGCCAATTCATTTTCTGTCAACCCACGTATGGTATAGTTACTTAAACACAATGTGGATGGTTTAATCCATGACTAATCATCACATTTAAAAAATAAAATCTTAAGTATTGTGTGCAAAAATCTGATTTTGATGAGTAACTAGTAAATACATCTGTAAAAAGTGGCCTTCAAAATGTACTAGACAGTAGTATAAGATGGAAATAATTGGGCAAGGTTCCTCAAATGTGTACTTAAGAACTTGAGTAAATGCACTTAGTTATCCCCCCCCTGTGTGTGTGGTCCGCTGTGTAACCCTACCTGCAGTCCTGAGAAACATGGCGTCAATTAGAGGGTCGACCTTAACCTGAGAGAGAGGGAGGAGAGAGAGAAGAGAGAGAGAGAGAGAGAGGAGTATAGAGAGAAGAGACAGAGGAGAGAAGAGAGAGAGAGGAGGAGGAGGAGAGAGAGAGAGAGAGAGATGAGAGAGAGATAGAGCTAGCGAGAGCTAGAGAGCGAGGAGAGCCTCCAGAGGAACAATCAGGAACAAGGAGATTCCCACATTTATCGTCTCGACCGTTTTCTTTTCTTTTTGCACTTTGTGAATCTGTTTCTGTACTTTTAGTTTTTTGGTTGGGAACGGAGAGAATTTATTTTTTTTAAATCTGGTTCTCTGTTTTTCTATTTAACGTTCTTTTATTGGGGGTAACTTTATCCACTTGCAGCTTGATATTTAATGTCTTTTTTAAGGCGGTGTGTGTGTGTGTGTGTGTGTGTGGTGTGTGTGTGTGATGTGTGTGTGTGTTGTGTGTGTGGATGAAGTGGTGTGTTGTGTGTGTGTGTGTGTGTGTGTGTGTGTGTGTGTGTGTGTGTGTGTGTGTGTGTGAACAGCCTGATGAAGTGTGTGTGTGTGTTGTGGGTGTGTGTTGTGTGTGTGTGTGTGTGTGTGTGTGTGTGTGTGTGTGGGTGTGTGTGGTGTGTGGTGTGTGTGTGGTGTGTGTGTGTGTGTGTGGTGTGTGTGTGGCTGCCTGGTGTGTGTGTGTGTGTGTGTGGATGAAGTGTGTGTGTGTGAGTGTGTGTGTGTGTGTGTGTGTGTGTGTGTGTGTGTGTGTGTGTGAAGTGTGTGTGAGCTCATAAGCACTGTCCCACTCTACTACTAGAATAGACTCCACCTCACGGATCTTTTCTACCTCCTTGGTTCCATGTGTGTTTGTAAGTGTTGTGTTTACTGACATCATGTGACTTTAACAACGTGTAAACACCACTTGATTTACGAGAAGTTTTATTTGAATATTTGAATATTTTTCTCATGAGGGTTTTGTTCATTTTCATATGCAGATAACAGGCACACACACACACACACACACAGTACAGCCTCTGTGTGTGTGTGGTGGGATAGTAGCCGTGAAACAGTCAGACTACTGTATCGCTCGTTTGTGTCCTCGCTATAAAGGCTCGCCATTGTGTGACCCAAAACATTTTTTTTATCGTCACTCAGCCGCTCAGAACCGGTTTTGGCCGGAGCTCCGACCCCTGCAGAAAAATGAAACGTCCATTTAATGTCTGACGGTGCTGGGTTCACGCTTTGATCACTGATGTCCTCACTGTTTATTCGTCCTCCAAACAGACAACGATGTCAAAAAAAGAAAAGAGATCGTCTGTTTTTCAAAGCTTTTTATTTGAGTTGCATGAAATGAAATGCAGAAAATGCTTGTAAACTATGAATTGCACCTTATTGGAGGGATGTGTTTTATTTGAATATGTGTGTGGGATTGATCTGAGTTGGTTCGCCAGGCAGTGTATTGTATGTTAAACAGGGTTATGATTTGTTATGCTTATTAATGCAGGTTTCATTATTATTGATTTGTGTTGTTGTGGATCGGCTTCAATAAGCAGCGTCAGGAAGTCTGGAGAACAGAAGGAAATAGTGCAGAGACCTCAGATTTAAACAGACTTTGAGGTCTAAATTGCATCATAAATAACATTTTAACAGTAAGACACAAGCTACTTAGAAACATAGGGTTATTCCATGAAGATTGATTACAGAAGTACTGACGAGAAAACTAACAAAATAATTAATTCTGTGTGACTGTCCGGGTATTTGCTGCTGCTTATTGGAGTGTTGTCTACACACACACACACACACACACACACACACACACACACACACACACACACACACACACACACACACACACACACACACACACACACACACACACACACACACACACACACACACACACACACACTGTCCTCTCACATATCACATTCCTTCCGTCCATCTTGTCCTTGACTAAAGACAACAGACTGACCAATAACAGACGCCATGTTGCTTGGACACACACACACACACACACACACACACACACACACACACACACACACACACACACACACACACACACACACACACACACACACACACACACACACACACACACACACACACACACCAACAATATGGCCTTGGCAGATCCCCGTCCCCGAGGCAGAGCGCTGTCTGCAGCCAATTAACCAACAAGGGCCGGTTGCCAGGTCCAAATCTAATCCTCCTCACCCTGGTGCCATGTTGCCAGATTTAGCCGTCCACTCTGTGACAGACTTTGTTGTGTTATTAATAATAAAATAAAAAAAGGGTTTACAATGTGAGAGGGTTGGACAAAATCATTGAGAAAGCGAGCAGGTTTACTTGATATTGGAGTGATTATATGCCTGCTAATGAGAGGTGCAGGGATGACGTATTCCTGTGTTGGTCCCTGAAGGCAGCATCTCCCTGGTCCAATGGGATTTCTCCATGTGATTTTGGATTATGGCAGAAAATAATCTCTGTGTCAAACAAACATTTATGATTTGTACACGTTTAGTTCAGCAGTATAATCTCCACACATTAACACCACGTGATGATTTCTGAAGTAACAAGCTAATGTTTATAAAGGAACTACAGCACGGTCACATGACTTCACGTCACCACCGCTAAACTAAAGGAGGCTAATGTTGGGCTATAAAGGTACTACAGCACGGCCACATGACTTCACGTCACCACCGCTAAGCTAAAGGCGGCTAATGTTGGGCTATAAAGGTACTACAGCACGGCCACATGACTTCACGTCACCACCGCTAAGCTAAAGGCGGCTAATGTTGGGCTATAAAGGAACTACAACACGGTCACATGACTTCACGTCACCACCGCTAAGCTAAAGGCGGCTAATGTTGGGCTATAAAGGAACTACAACACGGTCACATGACTTCACGTCACCACCGCTAAGCTAAAGGCGGCTAATGTTGGGCTATAAAGGAACTACAACACGGTCACATGACTTCACATCACCACCGCTAAGCTAAAGGCGGCTAATGTTGGGCTATAAAGGAACTACAACACGGTCACATGACTTCACGTCACCACCGCTAAGCTAAAGGTGGCTAATGTTGGGCTATAAAGGAACTACAACACGGTCACATGACTTCACGTCACCACCGCTAAGCTAAAGGTGGCTAATGTTGGGCTATAAAGGAACTACAACACGGTCACATGACTTCACGTCACCACCGCTAAATTAAAGGCGGCTAACATCCGAACTAAATGTTAAATCTCTCCAGTTTGTGTTAACCACAGACCTGAGTTCAGCCTAACAACCAAACACACATTCAGTAAACCATTGACCTCCAGTCAAGGGGAAAGGAAGCGCTAAAATGCTGACTCATTCCTGCACCTCTCTAGCTGCTCTTTGCGCACCGCCTGTGAACCCACAAACAAGCAATTCAAACATGTGAAAAACAAGGAGTTATTTTCTATGTCCATACAATGGCTACACATGAGCGCACCCTATTGCATATTTATGAAATCATACAACAACACAACCTGCACCCCTCCCTCTGTCCCCATGCACTGATAATGATTGTATATGATCGCATCGTTTCATTTGTTATATCATTTTTGGGGCTTGGTTTTGTTTCTTCATTGATTATTTTGAAATGGGTCTCTGTAATTGTGCGAGAGAGAGAGAGAGAGAGAGAGAGAGAGAGAGAGAGAGAGAGAGAGAGAGAGAGAGAGAGAGAGAGAGAGAGAGAGAGAGAGTGTGTATGTGTTGTAGCTTTCTGAATGTGTGTGTGTGTGTGTGTGTGTGTGTGTGTGTGTGTGTGTGTGTGTGTGTGTGTGTGTGTGTGAGAGACAGAAGAGAGAGGTTTTTCAGCCCTTCATCATTGTGCCAGTGTGTTCAGATGTTCCCTCGCTCTGCGTCCATTCATCACGATGCAGAGGGAGGAAGAGGAGGAAGAGGAGGAAGAGGAGGAGGACACTTCCCCTCGAGGGGGGGGGGGTTAAAAAACACAAATGAGAAGAAGAAACTTTTGAAGAAAGCATATTTTTCTCCTCTGCGGGGTCACAAAGAAGAGTGTACATTTCTAAGTGAATTGAAACAGATGGATAAAAGACTCTTTGTTCTCTATATGAATGGCTGTATGTTAACCATGAACACAAGTAATGAGTTCTATGACAAAGACATATAATAAATTAATTTTAAAATTTTAACTGCTGTTTTGTGAGTGTGTGAACGTGTGAGTGCAGATGTGTGAGTGCATCACCCACCCCTCCCCCTCCTGTCACTAGAGGGCAGCACTGCATCATTACAGCTCATTAGGATGCACACTTTGCATTCATCATGAACGGCAGACTTCTCTTTACAGGAAGCAGGTTATTACACTGAATGCTGAGTTTACACATTTAAATGACAACATCTGAATTAACATCAAAGTGTTTACAGGTTCTTTAAAGTGTAAACACTATGACGTGCCTACAGTTTCAGTGATGTACTCACTATGAGGGCCACGATAATAATATGGGAGAAATGTTCGTTTCCTTGGACCTTGATGTGAAGTTAGGATTTGTGATAAGCTTTAGGTCTTGCAATCTCACACGTGTACCAAAGTATAGCTTTATCCAACTGATGAGGGCTCTGTGGATACATGTCAGCGATGTGATGCAAGTAGCTCTCAGATGAAGAAAGGTCCCTGATTCAAAAACTGCACAATCAAGCAACCTCTCCAAACATAAATAGCACAACATATTAAAAAACAAACATTTTAAAGTAAATATCTGCGAAAAAATACAATGAAAATATTATTGTAAAAATAAATAGTTTACAAATATGTATTAAAACTTGTTATACAAACAAGAGAAGTTAAAGTAAAAATGGGAAATACAAATACAAACAAAATGTCTTCATATAAAGAAAATAAATGTGCATATTGTACTACATTATATAACAACAATGCATATGTAAACATGTGTGTACTTCATTGTCATATACTGGGACAAAGAAATGCATTGACCATTTTAAGTTAAGAGAAGCAGTAAAGAGCAGTGAAATACATACAAATAATATAAGTATATACATGTGACAGATATAAAAGGGTAAAATATATACATT